AAGTGGCTGGGGCAACCAATGGAGACTTTGGACCTTTTCTGGGTGGAGGGGGCCTGGAAGGCTTTTGTGCAGCATGGTCTTGACTGGACTGTTGCCCTGAAAAATGAGTCTTCCAGAAGTGGTGAGGCTGAAGGATGCTGGGAGCCTGAATGTTGGGTGACCCTGGTTTTAGGCCATAAGGAGTAAAGGGCCAAAAGTAGACTGCATTTCTTCCTTCCCTGATCACATATTTATTGAGTGTTTGCTATATATTAGACATTAGTAAACAGCCAGAAAAGATTTTGAGGCCCAGGGCAGTTAAAGTGCCAGGAATTCCAAATAACCCAGTGCATGTAGGGTGTGATGGTGCATGCCTATAATTCTAGCAGTCTGGGAGGTTGAGGCAGAAGGATCGCAAATTTAAGCTCAACCTGGGAAATGTAGAAAGATCCTGTCTCAGAAAAAAGGAGGACAGTGCTGGGGATGATGTAGGTCATTATGTGTTCACAATGAGCCTGTGTTCAATCCCCAGCACAGAAAAAACAAAACCAAATAGGCCAGTTTGTGTTCTTTGCTGGCTTGCCAGTGAGGAGACAGGACCATTCCAAAGTGTTATGAACTCTGCAAGGAAGTAAAGGAGCTGCAGGAGCAAGGACAGGGGCTCAGAGGTGTGCTCTGCCCCCCACATCTCCTCTGCAGGGACCTACCTCCTCTTAGCCAGGAGACCTCAGCAATCCCTGCCCACCTCTGCACACGAGTGTTCTCTTGCCCCCTGATGTCACCCTGATTTTCCTCTGTCCACCGAAAGCTGTAGAGTCACCATCCCCTCCCTAACCAGCAGGTGTCCTAAGTGAAGCACAGGGACAGTCCCCACTGAAGCGGGTCATTGCTCCATTTCACCCTGTTTTATTCTCTCTACAACAGGTCCAATGAGGAGTCTCAGCAGTCACATGTCTGGTGCTTGGGGAGAAACCAGCAACTTCTAGTCCGTGCCCCTTCTGCCAGGTACTTCGGGCACCGCTCAGCCTACTTCATGTTCTGACCTGGGCAGATGACTTTCCTGGCTGGCTGGTGCCTGGGACAAGCTACCTAGTCCACAAGCCTCTTGCCCACCATGTCCTAAACAACTGTGCTGAGGGCGGTGGGCAGCTGGGGGTGAGGGGTGGAGGCTCTTTTAGTACCTCACAGTTATGGGATTTCTCATCTGTCTAGTGCATGAGCTCCCAATATTCAACCAGGGTCCAGGGTTGGAGGGCCAAGGAAGGGGTCATAGCCCACATCCTGGCATTGGACAGTCCTGGGCTTAAATCTCAGCCCTTCCACTTGTGGAGGTCAAGAGAGGTTTATGTAGCTCTCTGTGCTTCTGTCACCTCATCTATGAGGTGGATGTTGTGCAGAATCTCACTGGACTTCTAGGCATTAGGTGGGATGTTTTGTGGATGATTGAGCACAGGGCCTGGCAGCTGGATACTGTAAGCAAATGTGAACCCATTAAAGTGAATTGTAAAATGAGCACAGGTGGTGCTTACCTATAATCCCAGCACTCTGGGAGCCTGAGGTAGGAGGATCAGGAGTTCAAGCCCAGTGTAGATGATTTAGTGAGACCCTGCCTCAAAATAGTAAGTTATAAAAGGGCTGAGTTTATAGTCCAGTGCAAAAGCTATGGGCTCAATGTCCAGGATTACAAAACAAAAATAACACTGATTCTTTAAGAAACTCCAAGGTCCAGCAAGATAGTTCAGTTGACTAAGCACCTGCTTAGGCAGTGCAGGGACTTGGGTTTGATCCCTGGCACCACAATGCTACACTGGCCCCATCCCTGAGCATGCTGAGCTGACTACTGAGTCTGGGGGTTGTGACGCATGCCTGTAATCCCAGCACTGGGGAGGCTGAAAACAGGAGTAAGTCGGAGGTGTGTAGTGAGACCCTTTGCCAAATACGTTTAAAAAGAAAGAAAGAAAGAAAGAAAGAAAGAAAGAAAGTCCACTCCATGATTTAGCTTCCCATACAGTACTTAGAATCCTGCAGGGAACTGAGGGAGGGTCATTTCCAAAAAGAGACCCTGGGATGCCCTGACTGGGATATGATCTGAGACATCCCCCTGCTGCCTACTCACCTGTCTCAGCCTTAAGGGAAGTGGCTATGGCTTCATTTTTGGCCAGTGATGACTCTCATGCCTGTGGGCTTGACCAGAATCAATCCATTCAATAGCAGCCAAAAATCTACACTAATGTGTTCTCTGCCCAGGTGCTTTGGACTGAAATCTAAAATTTTCAACTATCGTGTGAACTTCATGAAAGCTCTTGGTGAGCCCCATCTGACTGAAGCTGGATGCATGTTCCCTAACACTGCTGAGCTCTGATGACTATCACATTATTCCCTGCACCTGAGCTGAATCATTTCTTTTGTGGTGACATAATACTTAGCAAGAGCCAGCCACTATCACCCAGCCCAATCAGCTCCAGGTGGGGACCATTCCAGCTAGGGAGGGCGCATAGCTTGGGTCACAGGACTGAGCTGCAACAGGAAATGGTGTCAGAGCCCACGTGAAGGTGCCATGTGGATACCAGGCTCCTCCCATGGATTTTTAGTCCAGGCTGCTTAGGAATGGGAAATGACTCTTCCTGGCCTATACCTCCAGCCTGATTGCTCTTCCCTATGCTCAGCATGTTCTTTCCCGTTCTCCCCATGCCTAGTGAGTTAACCTAGCTCAGACAGCTAATCTCCCAAAACGTGCATGCCTCGACCCCTCAATAAGTATTTTCTTGTGATGCCTGCTTGCCTTTCTCCTTCCTTCTTTCCACTTCTTTTCTTTTTGTTTTCTTTCTTTCTTTCTTTCTTTCTTTCTTTCTTTCTTCTTTTTTTTGTAGTTTTGGGGATGGAACTCAGGTCCTTGTGCATGCTATACCTGCACCCCCTTATGATTGTTATATACAATCCTAGACATCGATTTCTCATTCTGTCTTTTTTAATTGTTGTTGCTTTGTGTTTTTGAGATAGTCTTGCTACATTGCTCAGGCTGGTCTTGAATACTCTATGCAGCTCAGGCTGGCCTCAAACTTGTAGAAAGCCACCTACCTTAGCATTCCCAAGTGCTGAGATAATAGGTGTTCACCACCACACCCAACTGAAAATCTGGGTGCAAGGTACTTCTACTTTTGCACAGCCTTTTCCTCTTCTGTTTCTTCTTTCCTTCTTTTTTTTCTTTTGGTGCTGGGAATAGAAGCCAGAGCCTTAAATGTGCTAGGTAAATACTCTACCACTGAACTACATCTCCAGCCTTGTCTTCTTGCATGGTCAGGAGTTTATAGTCTCCTTTGTCTCTTTGTCCCCCATCTCTAGCTAAGCACATGGCTCACCCTGGAGGGCTATGTCTCTAATGTTAGTAGTCTGTTCAAGACTCAGTCTAACCATTTCCATATCTGCATGGTTTTTACCTAAGTTACCCTCCTGGGATATGCTCAGGTGGGATATCCCATCTGACAGATGACAGTAAGCATGCCTACCCGACAGCAAATGTAGATCAGGTACCTAGTGTAGTGTCCAGCATGGAGGGGAGGCTTGGGAAATGTGAGATGAATCACATGGAGCAGTTTGGTGGGATAGTGTGTCTGATGTTGGAGGGTGAGATGTTTTCAAGAAAGGCAGAGGCCCAGGTACTGCTGAGGCTTCTCCTCTAAGAAAGCTGGGCCTCTGCCATCTGTTCTCCAGCACCCTAGTGTGTGAGGTGCTCTTTGATGGCCTGACACTGTGACAGGAGCTCAAGATGTCACACAGGAACCCTACCTGCAAGGGGATGAGAGTATGAACAAGCAGGTGGATGCAACAATGGGCTAGGTGCAGGCAGGGACTGAGTCTTCTCAACTGATAAATGGGAGGAATAAGTTCTATTTCATTGTCTCTTACCTCTTAATGTTATAAATATTTTTGAGAGTTATAAATATTAAGTGTGAGGTTTAGTAGAGGAAATGAATAGGTGTGATGACTAAGTTTTTTTGTTTTGCTTTTGGTTTTTGAGATGGTCTTGCTTGAACTCACTGTGTAACCTAGGCTAGCCTCAAACTCTCAGTGATCTCCTGCTTTAGCCTCCCAAGTACTGGGATTACAGGTGTGCACCACCAAGCTTGGTGTGATGACTAATTTTATGCCCCCGTTTGGCTAGGTTATGGTGCCTAGTTGTTTGGTCCAACACCAATCTAGGTGTTGCTGTGAAGGTGTTACTTTATTTTATTTATCTATTTTTTTTAATGAGATAGGGTCTCCCTATGTTTCCCAGGGTGGCCTTAAGTTCCTAGACTCAGGTGAGCCTCCTGCTTTAGCTTCCTGAGTAGCTAGTTATAGACATGGCAGTAGTTTTTAGATGCGATTAACATTTAAAAAAAACCCAACCAACCAACCAACCACCACCACCAACAAAACACCTTAAATTGATGGATTTCCATAGTGTGGGTGGGCTTCAGAGAAGAGACTAAAGTTTTCTGAAGAAAGACTTCTGCTTCAAGCCATCAACCTGAGTGTCCAGCCAGGTGTTGTGTGGAATTTAAACTGAAGACAGCCACACCAACCCACCTGCATTTCTAGCCTATCTTTATTTATTTATTTATTTATTTATTTATTATTCCTCCAGTACCAGGGATTGAACTCAGGACCCTGCACTTGCCAGGCAAGTGCTTATTCTACCGAACTATCTCCCCGGCCCTAGCCTATCTTATAGGGGTGTGTGTGTGTGTTGGCTTTGTTTCCCTGGAGAAGCTTGACTAATACACTAGATAAATGAAAGCAAGGATGTGTACCTTTCATGTGACACACCTGTTCATAAACTCTTTACCTGTGTTGGACTCATGATCCTCTTACTCTTCCCAAAGCTCCATGAGGAAGTCTCTGATTTGTCCCACTTTACAGATGAGGAACTTTCCCAGGCTGGAAATGATAAAACCAAGTTTGAATCCAAGCGGGTTTTCTTCAGTGCTGGAATACCCACCTAGGAACGTGCGTCAAGACCTTTGAAAGAAGAGGCCAGACACAGTGATGCCATTTTCATTGCTACACTTTGTCCTGAGGCAGTAGGGCAAATGAGGGAGAGGTGAGGAAGAGGCGGGGTGCGGGTTCTGGAAAGAAGTTAGGACCTTCGGCTGCAGCCCTGCAAACACCCACGAGGGGGCGCCAGATCAAGCTGCAAAACCACTCCAGAAAGTGGGTCCAGGAACGGGCGCCGGCCGGGAGTCAGGGCTGTGAAACCCCCTTCCTCACTCAATCCAGGGTTCCCAAGCCCAGTGCCCAGTCCTGGTGGGGTCCGTCTGTGGAGGCGCAGTTCCGTGGGTCCAGCCTAGGAACTGGGTCCAGCCCAGGTACCTCGGCAGCAGGTCGGTGCCCAGCTCCTTTCGGAGCAGCTGGCCCAGTCAGGTTAACACGCAGCTCTGGGTAATAATCCTTCGCCATAAATTGCGACTGCGGCTGCTGAGAGCCACCTCGACTGCCTCCTGGAAGACGGCCTGGACGTTGTCCTGGAGCCGCGCAGAACATTCGAGGTAGGCTACTGCTCCCACGGACCTTGCCATCTCCTGGCCCTGTCAGAGAGGTACGTGGGAGGCTGTGAGTTGGGGATGCCAGGTGGGATTGTCCTCCAAGCCCTTATTTGTCTCTTCTTGGGAGTCCCCAGGGCAACAGTGGAGCCTTCCTCTGCCCTCCATCCGAAGTGTGCTCTACCACTGAACTGAACTGAACTCCATTCTCACCCCCTCCCCTTTAAAGACAGGGTCTCACTAAGTTGCCTAGGAGGGACTTGAAGTTGGGATCTTCCTCCTTCAGCCTCCCAGACTGCTGGTTATATAGGTGTGGGCCCCCCAGCCCTGCCAAGGTGGTGGTTTTCTAGGGTACCCTCAGCTCCTGCACCGTGGCTTGACTAAATGCTTGTAAACATTTCATTGTTTCCTACCTTCCAGTGCCTGCCAAGGTCTCTGCCTTTCAAGAGACTAACCTCCACTAACCCAAGTACACAGCAGAGAAGCCTGCAGACTGAATCATGGCAGGGATGCTGTGGGACTCAGTGTGCGCAATTCCTCGTCTTGAAGGTACCATTTCCAGCTCCTAATCCCTGACTGTCTCCAAGACCTTTGCATGGCTCATGCATGGCCCAGTGGCACAGTATGTGGAGGGGCCCGCTTCCCCTACTGGCTTCCTACCCTGTGGTAGGTTACTGGCTCCAACCCGCTTTTCCGCAGCTTGTTCACTAGCGTCTTGTCCTTGCGCAGGTCCGTCTTGCAGCCCACGACAATGATCGGCACTCTCTTGCAGAAGTGAGTCACCTCTGGGTACCACTGCAGGGGTAGAGGTTTGTGTGTGAACCATCGGAGTCCTGTCCATCTTGATGGGCCATTCTCCTGCTTCCCCAGGGAGCAAGTGCCCAGAGCCAGACTTCGATCTGAGAATTTTCAAGTGTGAATTCACTAACCCCAGGGTCCTAATAGTGATTCTCTAGTTGGGTCCACTGTACAGATGTGGTCACTGAGGCACTGAGAGGGGCTGGGTAACTTGTTCTTTTTTTTTTTTTAAACATTTATTTATTTATTTATCTTGTGTGTGTGTGGCCAGCTCAGCCCACCAGGGGGCGGGGCTGGCTGGCATGTGGTGCTAGGGGATTGAACCGCAGTCCCTGTGCTTTGTTTAGCTTAGCTTGTTCTAAGTAGGTGCTTTAGACCACTGATCCATCTCACCAGCCCGGTAACTTGTTCTTGACACATAACTGGGAATGGCAGCACTTGAGCCCAGCTGCTTCCCTCCACCCTCTCTGCAAGGTAAAACTCTTGCCCTCATCTCCCAAACAGGATCAAATACATACTTATTTAAAAATAAGTCAGCTCGGGCTGGAGAGATGGCTCAGTGGTCTAAAGCACCTACTTAGAACAAGCTTAGCAAAAGCATCAGGGACCGCGGTTCAATCCCCCAGCACCGGGAAGGAGCCAAGCCCTTCTTACCCGAGA